TAAACTTGAACGCAGGACCAATCAGCGGGACCACGTAACTCTTCATGATCCTTTCAACTTCGTCGATATAGTCAAGTTTTTGTTTCGGATCATAGATCCAGATCGAGCAGCTTCGGAAGTCGACAATTGCGGCACACCAATGTGGCACGTCCACCGAAATGTTTACGGGAAAAAAACGATGCGTCCATTGTCACCTTTGTTAAGTATGTGCTTGTCCGTGTCAATTAATCTTTTTCGATCGACCTCCAATTCAAAACCGAGAAAAACGGAGTCCACAACCAATACTTCAGTAACCCCACCTCTGTTTTTACCAATCGGTTGTGCTTGTTTGACCGCGTGTAGTGCCGCAACAAATATACACCCGTCGCACAGCCAGTTTTCACCCGCAAACCTAGTTAGATCTTGAAACTGAACAATTGTTTCTGCGAACCGAGACTTGAATGCGGAATACATATTCAAAGTAGGCAGCGTGGAGAGAATGCTCTGTTGCACACCATTTTCCATCTTTGATTGAACCCACTTGATCAAGTCTCGCGTGCTTTTGATTCTCTTCGAGAGAGTATGCCATTCCTTCATAGTATTCACGTCTTGTAGTGAAAAGACCCCCACGCCCAAAATATGCACTCCAATTTCGCCTAGTGTGGGTGTCTTCTTGCTGGCAGTCTGTTCTCGAAACACTGCATTTTTTGCTGCTGCTACTGGTTTGTCCACCAGAACTTCCGGGATGACATACCGAATGTTGGTTTCAACTTGCAGCTCTTCTCCACGTCTTTTTAAGCGTGCATTTGGCCGTTTATATATGGCCCCTCCAAACATCGGGCGAATAGCCGAAAAGACTGGGTCGATTGACGCGAGAGACAACTTTTTTTGGTCAACATATTCACGAAGCGTTGTAAGTGTTATGTCGCCAACAGTTGTCAACTGCTTCGAAAGGGTCTTGGTTTCTTGAAGCTCTTTGCGCGCCTTGGCTTTTTGTTGTTGCTTTCTTCTCCTTTGGTCGTCCTGCAGGGTTGCTGGCTGGATTGAGTAGAATGATCGGGGTTTTAAGTGCACCAGTATTCTCAGAAGCCATATCAAGCCGTCTTCGCGTTGTATCGCTGACTGAGTTCGTGGCAATATCACCAATCCCAAGCGAACTGGATGCACATTCACCATTGCCATTAACTTGCGGGACTATCACTTTGGAACCAGACACAGCACTTTGCATGTTGGACCTGCTCTCTCCATCGATAAGGGCGTGTTGGGCAAATGCACCACATCCAAACTTGTCGGTGACCATAAAGCTAAATAATCGATATCTATATGCGCACATAACATACAAATTGGTGATTAGTCAACCAACAATCCACGAGTTTGTGATCGCAAAACCAATTATGCGTACCGATTGATGTTTGTACCGTACGTAGCGTCGATACACACTGCCTCTGGAAACTTGCGAGTCATTCGCCTCATGAAAGCCGTTTGAAAGGTGATGCATGATGTCAGACCTGTTTGTTGGTCTCTGAACACGTTGACAGCGTTTCCAGGACCTTCACTGAAGTCTTTAAGTAGCTGCGAGACGCGCACGTTATCGTCCTGCGATGTGTAGGTTTCTCTCCGCATCTTTGCTATAAGGTTCTCCACGTCTTTAGGCAAGATAGGTTTCCCAGAAACCTTCTTAAGATACCGCAATATCTTCTTCTTTTTCGACCCGCCTGCATAGTACGTTTAGACACACGCTCAGGTCTGTAAGCAAGATCAGCACTGTACCTTGTACGAGAGTTTTCACAACGCCTTTCGTGGCGGGGGAGTTGACTTGTCGGGCTTCTGAATACGAATAGTACACGGCAGGGCCGACGGCGTGGTTGTGGCTTGCGTAATGTTTCGAAACGCGAACTTGGAACAGTCCATCCTTCCCCTTCACCAAGTTGGCGCTCAGTTTAGCCTGGCACTGGATTGCCCGGATAATGTGGTGAGTCCGCTTTCCTTGGCCTCTTGGCTTGAACTGCCAGCCGTGTGTGCAAATGAAATACACCGCATAATTGCCGAGGGATTCGTCCCATAGCTCAACAGTAGATTCTCGTCTCGCAGCCTGCTTGGTGCGAGCTTTGTTGCGGTCTTTGACTGAAACGGTGGAGCGAATCTTGTATAATTGGTGTGTCTCCTGCTGATAGCTGAAGGAAGCATAGAGATACATTAGTGCACACCGTTCATTAATTCACAACAATGCACAGCTTCATGTTTACCTATCAAAGGCATCTTGAAATGCTTCCCAACACCCTTGGAATTGGCGGAACTCCTGGCATGGGCTCCGTAGCCTCCTCCTTTTCCTCCTCCTTCTCCTCCTGGGGCTTTCTCTTCTTGGGGTCGCAGCAGCCTTGGTAGCGATAGAAGGAGGGGAGCTTTAATGGACCGCGGCGTTTCGGTTGGGGGGGGGGGGGGGTGGGGCGAATGAAGCCAGGTCCTTCTAGCCGCTCGATTTTTTTAAAAGTCTGAATTCAGAACTGAACCGCTAATACCGAAGCCGTCGGTATTCCAGTTTGTAGTTTTTCCCTGCCTTTTTCTACCCAATAGTTGGTGAACGTAGGCACTTCCTTTTTTTTGGCGGAGATGAGCCTCGAAAAATGCGCCTCCCGAGACGCATTTTTCCAGCTGATATTTTGAGTTCTCATTTTTAGGGGTACGCCGCTAAATATATAACCTGGTTACTTTCGAATCTGGTGGCTGGGAAGCGAAGGGTACAGCATGGCACGCGAAAAGGGCCAGAAGGGTGGCCACACCACCTTACTGCAGAGGAAGTTTATGGTGGAATGGCTGAAAAAACCGGCTAATTTCAATGTGATTGTGGGCAAGGCAAATGACGACCACTCTGCTGGCTTTGGAGGGGCGCGCACAAAGATTTCAGGCTTCGGTCAAATGGCAGAGTACGTGTTTACATCTTGCTTGAAGACTTTTGCGGATGCAGGTTCGCCGATACCGGCTAAGTATACCGAGCGATGGTATGCTTATACATGCCAAAGCCACTGGACATCTTACTTTTAGGTGTTCTGGAAAATCAGGGAAAGGTTAGACTCCCAGACGGGATTTGGCCTTACTGAATCGCAGCTCGAAGCAGGGCTGGCGCTCGAAGAAGCTGTTGAAAATCTGCCCCTATTGTGACGAAGATTTCGACATCTCCAACTTGCCGTCTACACTAGTGCACAAACAATAGTATAACGTGCAGCAATTCTCACCCGCAGCAATACCACGTGCAGCAACCCCTTCACGTTCAGAATTTTTTCACCACGCAGCGACTCCTTCACGCGCGGCAACTCCTTCACGCTCTCACGCGCGGCAACTCCTTCACGCTCTCACGCGCGGCGGCTCCTTCACGCGCGGCAACTTCTTCACGCGCGGCAACTCCTTCATGCTCTCACGCGCGGCAACTCCTTCACGCCCTCACGCGCGGCAACTCGTTCACGCGCGGCAACTCCTTCACGCCCTCACGCGCGGCAACTCGTTCACGCCCTGCGACTCGTTCACGCGGGGTTACGGGTTACAAGGTAATTATCTGGTTTTGTGGCAATTTAGTGGTGTTTCAGAGCTGAAAGCCCCCTCATTTTTCGACAAAAATGAGGCTCATCTCCGCCAAAAAAAATCCTAATTAATGACATCTTTGAAACCCCCTAATCAGTAAAAAAGATCAGGAGCACCCAGGGCCTCCGAAATTAGCATTGTCAATAGCATAGTTTCCGAAAACAACAAGTTATTTATTTCGCATTGCTCACTAGATTATTTATTTTTGGAGTTTAGAGAATTGCATAATGTACAGTGC